TACCTGGAGTGCTCAGCCCTGACCCAGAGAGGTCTGAAGACAGTGTTTGATGAGGCCATCAGGGCAGTGCTCTGCCCACCTCCAGTGAAAAAGCCAGGCAAGAAGTGCACTGTCTTCTAGAGCCCTGTCTGACCAGCCCGGCTGAGGAGCCCTGGCTCAAGTGTGCCCTCGTGTTGAGCTGTCTGGTGCCCCAAGTCTGCTGTGGGAAGTGGTGTGGGTGGGGAGGGAAGCATGGGGACAAGGCTGGGGTGATGGGGTCCTGTCCCCTATACCGCCTTTTTCTGGCATATAGCTCCAGCCTTCCCTGGTCCCTATGGGAGGCCAGCAGGGAGCAGGGTCTCCCTCAGGGCTGCGGGGGTGGGTTCAGGGAAGCCCCAGGATGGGCTTCCCTGGAGGGAAGGGTGGGGGTGGGTTTTGTTCATCGTGTCCCAGGAAAGGGTGGCCCCTTCTTATTTTATACAATAAACATCCACCACCTCCTCTGTCTCACTGTCTTCCCTGCCTTCCACCCTTGGCGTCCCTAGCAGCTCTGCATTTCCAAAGGGAGCTCTGAGCTTAACACACCTTAGTGAGGGAGAGGACACTGCTCAGAGCAGAGCAGAGGTACGAACACTTAGCTGTATACAGGATGAGCTCTGTATGCAAACTGGGCCCTGGGGGACATGCTTCAGCGGCTCTCACTGAGCTGAGGGGAATAGTCTGTAAAGAGGATGAAGCCTGAGCTCTGGAAGCCTCGCTGACACATGTCTGGCTGGTATGAGATGCTAACAGGTTGCCGAAGTGGAGAGGTGCAGCCCAGGAGGCCCAAAGTTATGGTCCTGAGCTGAGACATCATCCCAGAGGCTGAAGGCATTTCCCTGGAGCAGACATGAGACCAGAGGATGCCCTGCAGGGACACATTCTCCTCCCAGTGATGCATGCAAGCAGTTCATGCTGACTCAGAGACCTGGTTGTTACTTTTTTTTTTTTTCAGGAAGTTTGCCAGCCAGTTGTTAAGCAGCTCTCATTAATAATTAAGTCACATAAACTTACAATTAGTTGTGCCGAGAACAAAATTAACAAATCCATTTCATAATTACTTAATATATGTTGCTATCCTTTGCACCTCATGTTACTGTATGTAATGGGTTGCTGCCATGGACCGCCTCACCTCCATGTCCCCCCAACTCCACATCAAATGATATCAAGTGGACAGCTTGAAGTCAGCTGTAATGCAAGTTCCACACCACGGAATGTGGCAAACTACAGACTAGGACTTGACGTATCAGTAGTCTGGGCCTTTGGAAGTGAGATATTGCAAATTAAATACACCAGGACTCTCATTATGTTGTTGTAAATAGCACAGAAAGTTGAGGAATGTTCACATTTTAGAAATCCAGGTGTTTAGCTCATTGGCAGATTGGTGATGTCTGCCGCCTGTCTTTTGGTGTTACATTCACTGACTTGTAATCAAGGTCAGTTGGCATTCACGTCAGAATCATAGGGAGCTGTTTGTTCAGTACTTACCGACAACCCACAGCTCCACTCCAGAAACCTCTGGACAGGCTATCTTTAGGCAAACTGACGAAACTCTTGCCCATGCCACCCCATGCCAGGGAGCTGGCCGGGCCTGAAAGTCTGTGTGGGAACCAGGCTATATATGCTTTGGATCACAGGTGGCACAAAGATCTCTGCCTGTCTGAGAGTCAGCACACAGGCTGGACAAAGACGTTTATTAGAGGGATGGAGAGCACAATGTTCGGAGCATGGGGCTGGGCACAGTGACGGTGCCGAGGCTCAGGTGGCCAGGAAGCCCCCGTCCACCGGGAGGGTGGAGCCAGTGGTCATGCTACTGCGGTTGCTCAGAAGGAAGAGGATGGTGTCCACCACATTCTCCACCTCTGCAGCAGGTGGACGTCAAGAGCAAAGATTAAGGAGGCTTGATCCCCAGGCCCAGGCAGGCACTAGACCTGCTGGTACTGTTTCAGTCTGGACTCCCGCCTGACTTACCAGCAAACTTGCCGAGTGGGATGCGATCCAGCATAACCTTGGCCTTGTGGGGGTCGCTCCAGTTGGTCCGGCCCATGGGTGTCATCACTACTGTGGGGTTGACTGCGTTCACACGGATCTGCAAAGAAGCCGGCAAGGTAAACAACGTGGGAGGGTGCCCTGGCCGCGAGGACTGATTGGAGGAGTTGCCCCAGCCCAACACACCTTGTGGGGCCCAAGCTCTAGGGCCATCATCTTGGTCAGCATGTCCAGAGCACCCTTGGTGGAACCTGTGAAGGAGGTTGCTGTGGAGGCCAAGAGCAGGCCGGGGAGGGGTGGGGCGGGGACCGGACACTGCTGGCCTTACTCACAGTAGACACTATGGTTGGTCAGTGCACGCTGGGAGGCCTGGCTGGAGACATTGACGATGGCCCCCGGGACTCCCCGAGCTATCATGCCCCTGGCCACAATCTGAAATTTTGAGGGATGTGAAGCAGAACGAGCACTCGCCTTGAGAGCTCCTACTCCAGCCGAGAGGGCAACTCACCTGAGACACCTGGATGACAGCCCGAAGATTCACGTTGAAGGACCTAGTGATGAATGGACAGCCCGGTCAGCGCGGTAAGGGGCAGGAACTGCAGCTGCTGCCCGGGATGGTTCTCCAACCCCTGCGGGCTTACGTGTCACAGGCCTCCTTGGTGACCTCAAGGAAGGGCTGCAACAGAGCCACAGCAGCGTTGTTCACCAGCAGGTCCACCGGTCCCACACTGCTGAGGGCCTGTTCTGTGGCCTCCCAGTCGGCCAGGTCCACACACACAGGCTCCACGCCAGGACACTGTGTATCGGGGCAAAGCAAAGCTGTTAATAAGCAACTGTATTCCAAGAATGTGGTGCTGCTGGCCTCGTCTTCCTGAGGAAAGGTAGCTAGTCTGGGAGAGTTGGACCTGGAAGGGGACTTTCAACTGGAAGGGTCAGGGGTTCCTGGCGCAGCAGCAAATTGTGGAGCCAGGAGCTGAGAGACACAGTCCCGCCTCCGGGCACTCCACTTCCTCTCCGCCCAGCATTCTTGGACCTGGGATTGCTCCCTCAGCGGACATTTCAGTTTCTTCCAAACTCAGGGAGCCAGGATGGCTTGATGGACCCCCGACCATATGCGCAAGCCTCGGAGCTAGGAAGGAGTGCAGAGGCTTCCCACCCCAACACCCAAGGCCAGAGGCGGGGCGGGCCTACAGTGAGAAGCTTGCTGTGGGTGAAGGGCGTCAAGGGGTGCAGCGTCTCACTTAGAGACCGTCTCCTCGCCTCTGGACACAGTGCCTACCTCGCTAACCAGGCTGTCAAGGTCCGCTCGTGTCCGGCTCACGGCCACAACATGTGCACCAGCCGCCTGCAGAGCCAGCACAGTGCTGCGTCCGATGCCTGAGGCGAGCGAGGATTAGTGCGGGTACCCCCTTTCAAACCAGCCCGACTCCGCCAGCGCCCCTCTCCTGCCGCCTCACCTTTGCCCGCGCCGGTCACCAGCGCCCGCCGACCTGCAAGCCCCAGGTCCATGGTGGCCGGGCCAGATCCTGCTGGAGGCAAGAAGGACTTGGAGTTCCGGAGTCGTGGGCGGGGCGAGGAGAGCCAATCGCGTGGGCTGCGTCTTGAAAAGGGCGAGGATATTAAAATAATAGTTCCTTCTGTCGTGTTGATTGGCTGAACTGCAGTGGGCGTGACCGAGGGACGCAGCGGCTCAAACTGCACCAGACTGATCCAACTACAGAGCTTGGAATCGGCTTAGCGAGCTTTGGTCTGCATGGTTTTCACTGCCAAGAAAATTTCCATGAGAACCAGATACAGCAACTTTGCCAGGCGTTTTACGGATATTCGTGATCCTGAGAGCCATGTCCAAAAACGTTTTATGTGTTCTTTCCCCAGGCTTTGGAGTGGGTCACAGTAGCTCATATGTAATACTCACAGAAAACAAAACAAAACAAAACAAAACAAAACAAAAACTGTTACCAATAAAGTCCCAACCAAGTTAGCATCAATGGGAGCTAAAGCCCAAGATCACCTCACCCAGCTTGCATTAGGTCACTAGCCCTTTATAGAAAGTAGACAGGAACAGAGGATTGGGCTCAGGGATGTACATGAGAACTGGCCAGACAAATATTACTTTCCAAGTCAGTCATAGATTAATGAATGTCCAAGTGTGCACTGCGTCTCCTATAAAAACATTTTGTTGTTCGGGTCATGGTACAGAAGACTAAAGCTGCTGCTCTCAGGATCTACTGGCCAGGAGCAGGGAAAGAGGTGCATGCATGGGCTGACTCAGATTTGAAATCAGCTGCAGGGGGCTCAGTGGTTAAAACTACGGCACGCTCTTCCAAAGGACTCCAGTTTGACTCCCAGCACCCACATGACCGCCCACTCACAAACATCTGTTTTAGAGGAACCCACGCCCTCTTCTGGCCTCTGGGCACACATGTGGTGCACAGACACACGCAGGCAAAACCCATGCACATAAAATAATAACTTTTTTTTAATTTAAAGGAAAGAAAAGCAGCTGAAAGGTACATAGTCAAGTGCCCGCCTCCCCAATCTTTGACCTGCTCATCACCACTGTAAGACTGTCTGTGAATACTGCCATCTGCTCCTAACCTTGAATTCTGCCATCTGCCTGACAGAATCCAAGAGGGAGACAGCATCGAGCCTGCCCAACCCCTAGACACAGCTGCTTAGAGTTCATTAGTGCTTTCAGTTTTCCAGGACATGCACAAATCTCATTCACTGTTCTGTGGTCCTGGGTGGACATGGCTGCAGCTCAGGCCTTGCTCTCTGGAGAGAGGCACTCTCAGAACCTGTGTCCTGTGCTCTTTAGAAGGTCTTACCTGGGCCGGGCGGTGGTGGCGCACACCTTTAATCCCAGCACTCGGGAGGCAGAGCCAGGCGGATCTCTGTGAGATCGAGGCCAGCCTGGGCTGCCAAGTGAGTTCCAGGAAAGGCGCAAAGCTACACAGAGAAACCCTGTCTCGGAAAAAAAAAAAAAAGAAGGTCTTACCTGAGCCATTCTCCTCTACCCTGCCGCTTGCCTGAGTGGGACCCTGTATCAGTTCTAAAGGTTGGCCCCTTCAAACCCAACAGTCTACCAGATGCCAAGAGCCAATGCCAACAAACATGAGAGGACCTGCCAGGGCCCTTGAGACACCCTGAGGAGCCCTGAGTTGCAGGGCTCCTGTGCTAGTTCTGGCTAGGGTGATAGACCAGCCGGCTGACTGTGAGAGCTTCTGTTCGGGCAGCCTTGTCAGCTCTTAAGTATGGAGCAGGCCCGGGAAGTGGATTCCAGAGAAGACTGAGAGATTCTAGTTCCTGCCCAATGGCTCCTCTCCTTCTGCACAGAGTACACAGGTTTAGGAGTGACCTGGTCCAGGACATCTCCCCTTTCTTGCTTCCCCTCCCTTCCCCTGATTGCTGAGTTGGGGTCAGAACACAAGAGGCACCAGACTCAGTAGTGGGAAGGTGAGGAACCTATGAGAAGGCACATGACAACACAGAGCCCTTTTTTCTTCAGAAGAACCATCCTTTGGTCACATTGGTCACAAGGCACAGTAGGTTCTGGAAGATACCATGCTTTGAGGTGAAATGCCTGCAGCAGGACCTGGGCCAGCATCCAGCCTTGCAGTGTGCCACCCCCAAGGAGTCTTGCGCAATGGTTCGGGAACACTGTGGCCCATTTATTTAGGAAAATGAGACCAGCAAAGCAGATAAGGAGAACAAAGACCCCAAGGTCCAGAGCATGGAGCGGTTGTGGGATCAGACAATAACATTGGGAGCTGGGAGCTGTGTTGAGGGTAGGGCTGTGGCGTAGGGACCAGGTTGTGAGATTGGTAGAAGCTTCGTCTCGAGGGTGGAGCCAGGGAAGCCACTCTGAGGTCCACCACGTCCGGGCAGTCTAGGAGGCCAGGTAACCAGCGTCCACCAGGATGCCAGAGCCACTGGTAGAGGCACTGCTGTCGCTGAGCAGGAAGAGGATACTGTTGACAACGTCCTCCACCTCTGCAGGAGAGCAGAGCAGTCAGGGCTTCTGCTTGCCCAGCTGCTGGGAGCCAACACTGATTCCCTCACCCACATCCCCAGCTGACCTGCGAACTTCCTCAGTGGGTGGCGCTCCTTGAGCTTCTTGGCAAACTCAGCAGCGTCTTCAGTGACTTTCTTGCCCATATCAGTCAGCACCACAGTAGGGTTTACAGAGTTTACCCGGATCTGGGGCCAGAAGCCACAGCTGGTGGCACAGCCAGTGAACTAGCCCTAGCCACACAGCTCAGGACTTGCCCCAGGTCAAGCCTGATGAGCTTGCTTGCTCTGTCCAGCTGAACCCTGGCCCCACTGCTCAGAGCATCCCCAAGCCTCACCCCATCCTCACCCCCAACCCCCAGCCCTGCCCCAGGTGCCCATCATCTGTCCCTCAGGTGTGGACCCATGCCCCTGTGCCTACCTTGTGTGGCCCCAGTTCCATGGCCATGGCTTTGGTCAGCATAGTCATTGCGCCCTTGGTGGAGCCTGTGGATGTGTGTGTATGCTGAGGACAATTTAATTATCCAGTCCTCCTCCCGAGAGACCCACCCAGAACCTACTCCTGGTCCCACCACAATGGAGGGTGCACTCACAGTAGTTGGCCAGGCCAGGGAAGGTGACATAGGCCACTATGCTGGAGACATTGACAATGGATCCTGCCACTCCACGGTCAATCATGCCCTTGGCTACCATCTGGAAGAAAGAGTTGGGGGTAGCTCAACCTGCCTTGCCCTGCCCCACCCTCCCCAGGGATTCATCTCTGGGCCACAGCCCTCCTACCATCTCACCTGGGATACTTGCAACACAGAGCGAACATTCACATGGAAGGACCTAGCAGGAGAGGAACAATGGTGTCCTGCACCACCCATCTTCAGTAACCCTCCCCCCCCAGCCTGCCCACTCTCCCCAAGTGCCCACCTGTCGAAGGCCTCCTTGGTGGCCTCCAGGAAAGGCTGTGCTATAACTATTGCTGCATTGTTCACCAGCAGGTCCACGGGGCCGATACCGCCCAGTGCCTTCTCTGTGGCCTCCCAGTCACCCAGGTCCACGCACACAGGCTCTATCCCTGGACACTGTGGGAGACATCGGTTGGTGGCCTGAGGCATTGTCCCAGCCAGCTTCTGATGGATCCCTGAGGGTGGGGAGCAGGCCCAGGCGAGGCAGGACTCTGCACCTCACCTCTTTGGCGAGGCTGACCAGGTCTGCGTTGGTACGTGTCACGGCCACCACTTTGGCTCCTGAGGCATGCAGGGCTTTAACAGTGTCACGCCCAATCCCTACAAAGAGGGAATATGGAGGGATTAGGGCCCTATAGGCCTGGTCACAGAAAGGGATAGGATCACAGGTGAAAGTAAAACCCCGGAGGGCAGCTGGCTCCTAATAAGCTCCAGCGAAGGCTGACCCTGGTGCTTTCCGCCCAGTTTGGATCTAGGAGCTATCCTGAAGCCAAACTAAGTTCACCCATCATGGGTATTGTGATGGCCAGGATGGGGTTGTCATTCTGTCTTGGTACGTCTCCAGCCAGGTAACATAAATGGGTCAGAGTCCTAACCAGTGCAGGTCAGATCTGGAGGGCTGAGTTGTGACAAGGGCCCCTATTCCATGTTGCGATGGGACCCCTTCCTCTCCCCAACCTGTACACACTCACCTTTCCCTGCCCCTGTGACCAGGGCCCTCAGGCCACTGAAACTCAGCTTCATGCTGCCGACACCAGTGTATTCCTGCAGCAAGAGACGGGCTCAGATTTTTATGGCTGGGCTGGCAGGCGGGGCAGAGGTGGAGCTAGGAGCCGACTGGCCTGGCCAGGGTGGCATGACCCACCTCCTCCACGGATAGACCTCTCACTCCCCAAATATGACAGGCAGCTGCTTGTTAGGGTTTGAAGAAGAAATGAGAAACTGTGTACACATATATGCCTGTTAGAGGAGCTCACATAGCTATGTACCAGGAAAGTCAGAAGCCTGGCAATGAAATTTGTGTTTTCTTTGGTCTAGTTTAGTCTTGACCCTGATCGCATGCTAGGCAATCCTTTTACCACTGGGCCACACTCCTGATCTAGGAGAATAGAAATTTCAGTTTTCTGATTGCGTTTCTTGGACAGAAGCCTTGGCCGGTAACAGTGTTAATGGAAGAGAAGCTGGACTTCCAGTCACTTGTGGGTACTTCAGCCTGACTGAAGGGCCAGGACAGCTGTGCCCATGGACATGTAGTGGCTAACCTCTCAGCATTGACAGTTCTCAGGAGACAATCCAGCATCTTAATCCACATATCGGCTCTGTGTCCATAGGGAATGGGGGCAGGCATCCAATGAACAAGAGAAGCAAGCTGATCCCTGGACTAGGTCAGACAGCAAGTCTATTCCCACCTAACCCTACCCAGCATTCCTAAAGTCTATGGTCTTTACTTGCTTCTCCCAGGTGACCTCCACCTGCCCCCAGACATTCTGCCCTTGGTGACCACACTGAGGCACCCTCTACCCTTTGAGGTGGGACTCCTCATCTCAGAGCATATGGGTGGATCCCTGGGAGAAGTTTTGAGAAACTATCAGAAGATTCAATGTCCATCTTAGCCAAGGGCAATGGTGGTGCACGCTTTTAATCCCAGCACTCTGGAGGCAGAGGCAGGTGGATCTCTCTGAGTTTGAGGCCAGCCTGGTCTACAGAGTGAGTTCCAGGACAGCTGGCCTACACAAAGAAACCCTGTCTCAAAAAACAAAAACAATCCCCTCCAAAAAAAAAAAAATGTGCATCCTAATTCTTCATCAGCTAAAATTCTGCAGAAATTTAGGAGAAACCAGCAAGTTCACCAAGCCTTTTGACTTACTCTTTCGTTGTGTTTTTTTCTGAGATAGTGTAGCTTTGGCTGTCCTGGAATTTCCTTTGCTAGACCAGACTGGCCTTGAACTCAGAGATCTGCCCAGTGCTGGGATTAAAGGTGTGCACCACCACACCAGGCTGCTGCTGCTGCCACCTCCTTCTCATCTTCTTTTTCCTTTCTTTCTTTCAAAATATTTTATTAAAAAAGTAAACTGGTAGTACCTACTTTTCAGGAGTGTTTCTGTGCAACATTTATTATATCCTGAAATTCATTTAGCCCCCTTTGAAGATACCTCAAAATTTATGAGCCTAAATGTAGCCATTATGAGACCATTAGTTCTGCTCCTTGTGAACTGCCTGTTTTTCCTTTATGGTTCTTAGTTGTTCTTTTGCAGAGCTGTCAGCTTAAGTTGTGCTGGGATCAAGAAAAATGGGCCTTGGCGGTTCGTGTTCCTGGAGTTGTAGCCATGCCAGTGGATGCCCACATGCTCCAGAAGAGAATTTGACATCGCTGCTGCCGTTGTTGTTATAGCAGTGATGGCCTCCGCTGCTACTGTTTCTGGGATTGCCATTTCATAATTGCTTACTATAGCTGGCACAGTGGAGACCCTGGCAACAAAAGTAGCTACCACAGTTAGTTAATCTTTCATTCTATTGGGCATGATAAATTTAATTCAGTAGTTATATACAATTCTATTGGCTTTGAAAATTATAAATTTATAAATTCAAAATCCATTTTCTTTTGGGATACCATCTTACAAGGACTCCAATTTGTAGTAAGGCTCATTAAGGAAGGGAATGGCTCAGTCGCCTTTAGCCTACTGGCTATGGTAGGTTAGGACCTCTGTTGGTCTTTTCTGTGTCAAACACACAGATGGCAAGCCCAGCACCACTTTGAGATCTTTGGCAGCAGTTAACTCTGCAGCTCACACATGACTGAGTCTGTATGATAATGAGTATTCAGAGAAGGGTAATGCTTGGGGGGCACTCACCAACCTAAGACAGAGCACCTGTGTGGACTGGGCAGGCGTCTCCATGACAGGTAAGGTGACCTGCTGATGTCCCATGCAACTTAAGTCAGAAGCTCATTTTTTAATAAAAGGGGGACCTACAGGGCCCTGGCCCCTGTTTTGGGTAACTGTTGCCTTGCTTGCTGACCTTGACCTTGATATCCTCCCTATGCTAATTCCCTGCCAGGTTCCACCCTCCTGAATGCTTAAGGGAAGTTCCTTGTCTGTGTATCCTGCATAATGGGCGTTAACAGCTTAAATGCAAGATTGTAAAACATCAGTAACTTCTGCCCTCTGGGGTTCTCCCCTTGTGCTGTAAGCCTATATTTAAGACCTCTTCCCCCCTTCAATAAATGACATTCGGCAAAAAATAAAATAAAATAAAATAAAATAAAATAAAATAAAATAAAATAAAAAAAATGAAAAGTGCAGCAGTATCTGGGGAAATGGAGATGGGCCCACAGTCCGGGCTGCCGTTTTGATTTCATAAGTCATGGTGGGCAATTCATTCTCTAGGAGTTCTATGCTTTTTCACTTAAAAAAAAATTGACTTTTTTCTTAAAAAAAAAAAAATAACAGTCATTTTATATTTGAAAAAAAAAAAGTAAACTGGGCAGTGGTGGCACACGCCCTTAATCCCAGCATTTGGGAAGCAGAGGCAGGTGGATTTCTGTGGGTTCAAAGCCAGCCTGTTCTACAGTTTCAGAACAGCCAGAGCTGTTACACAGAGAAACCCTGTCTCAAAAAACCAAATAAAATAAAATAAAAATAATACTAGTAATGACTGAAACATGGACAAAGACATCCTCTTACTGCCCTGCTATCCTATGGTAACCATGGTTAGTCACTCGGTTTATACTTGGATATCTTGGTGTGTTCTTTGCAGTCGTGACCATATTCATATACTTTGTCTTACAATATTTATAGCATTTTCTCATTTTTTTATAATATCAATCATTAACTTTTAGTAAGTACATAATGTACCATTCATAGATATCTATTTGCTCACTACTTAGACCAAAGGATTGTAAATAATGGCCCTATATTTGTAAACAGAGTTTATTGTTGTGTTTTGTTTTTTGAGACAGTTTCTCTGTGTAGTGCTGACTGTCCTGGAACTCACTCTGTAGGTCTAACTGGCCTTAAACTCAGAGATCCCCCCTACCTCTGGACCTCCCCAGTGCTGGGATTAAAGGATTTACACCTGGCTTGTAAGTTAAGTTTTACTATAAACAGGCCCATTTGTTTAGACTATACCTGTTTTCATGTTACCAACAGCAGTATTGGTAAATTACGGCAGAGACAGTGTAGCCTGCAAAGTCTCAATGATTTATTCTCTGGCCTTTAAAAAAAAAAGTATGCTGACTCCTGCCCTGAAATTTTAGTTCTTAATTTGGGCTATGTTGCAAAGCTCTGTCCTTGGTGCCAAGCCATGCCGTCTTCCAAGTAGTTGTTCCTAGGCTAGAGGAAGGGGCTTCATTGAGAAGGCTGTGGGAAAGCCATTGTCCACAGTAGGTGAAAACGTTCCAGCGTAGCTGCTTTCCAGTGTGGTCACCCACACTTCTGTCAGTAACCCCTCACCCATATTCTGTATGTAAGTCCAATATACTTGTTGGTTCCTCAAGGTGAACTGTGGTGGAATTTTCCTTTGGTCTGTCATTGGGACCTAAAGAAGAGGGGGTAGATGTTATTTACACATCTCCCAGGAGAATGCCATTTGGAATATATTTGTGTACTGTTTTTTATACTTTGGACAATATACTGGGGATATTATAATAAGGAACAGAAGTGAGTGTTTAAAATGAGCTCACTGTGGCAGTAAGTATGGTGGGCAGAGGCAGCACACAAGCTCCATCTGTGTGGACACATCCTTGACAAATAGCCATGATTAACTATCTCTGATAAGAAAGTTCCAGGGCAACTATTCTGTATCCTCAAACAATATAGATTCTTCTATTTGGGAAAATTGTATTCTTAAAGAAGACGTATGGATTAGGACCAGTGGGCAACCCTGAGGATTTCTGAGACCAAAGGCCTACTTGCTCTAGTTAGCGTTCAATATGCTGTGATGAACACTGACCAGAAGTAACTTGGGGAGGAAAGGGTTATTTCATCAGCTGCAGTCCATCATAAAGGGCAGTCAGGGCAGGAACTGAAGGCAGAAATCAAAGCAGAAGCCATGGAGGAACACTGCTCACTGGCTTACTCCTCATGGCTTGCTCAACCTGCTTGTTTTTGTTTATTGTTTGTTTTTGTTTGCTTGTTTGAGACAGAGTCCTGTAGCAGGAATCTTAGAAGGTCTTATTAATAAAATCAAACCTGAGGCCAGTTATTGGGGTGAACTCTGGAAGATCAGAGAGACAGAACAAGCCACAGCTAACCTCACCTGGCCAACTTCTCAGCTGATCTTGTTTCCTCAGACTGGAAGCCTCTGTGTCCTCATATCCATCCGAATGGCTCTCAGCTGAACTGTACTGCTCAAAACCTAAAAGCTTAACCAGCCAAATGCTTCTAGTTTCTAGTCCTCACGCCTTATATACCTTTCTGCTTTCTACTACCACTCCCTGGAATTAAAGGCTCGCTTTCTGGGATTAAAGGCGTGAGTCACCATGCTTGGCTGTATCCTTGAACACATGGATTTCTGCCTCTGGAATGCTAGGATTAAAGGCACGTGCTACCACTGCCTATCCTCATGTTTAATATTGTGACTGTTCTGTCTCTGAGACAAAATAAGTTTATCAGGGTGCACAATATTTTGGGGAACACAATACCACCACAGGGTCCCTCCATGTAGCTTAAGCTGTCCTGGAATTCACTATATAGACCAGGATGGCCTAGAACTCACAGAGATCCACCTGCCTCTGTCTCACAACTGCTGAGATTAAAGGTGTGT